TCTCTCTCTCTCTCTCTCTCTCTCTCTCTATATATATATATATATATATATATATATATAAATAAAAATATTATATAAAAGATTAATGAATAAAAAATATATTTTATTATGTTCATGGTATCCTGGTTCTTATACAAAGAGTTTTTCTTCCTTCTTTCGGCCATAAATGCTGAAAGTCTCTTTCTCTATTCTTCTATTTTATCATTCTTCAGATTAGTCCCAATTACTTCTTCTTTCTTGTCACAATTACTTCTTCTTTTCTTGTCCCAATTACTTCTTCTTTCTTGTTTACTTATGTGAAACCTATTCTATTAGTGTGGAGGAGAGAAGATGAAACCAATGATTTTATCTCTACCAAATAGTTTACATGATTATTCATTCTTGATTATAATGCATAAACTCAACTGATAAAACTTTTTTCATTTGTCTCAATCTATAAAATTATATATTTGAGAAAGAGAAAATATTAATTATTTGATTGTATATTTGAGAAAGAGAAAAGATTAATTATTGGATTGGATTAACAATAACACCTGTAGTGGATTATCCCAAGTTCAAAGTATATAAGATTCTTAAAATTATATGATCAAAGCGTTGATCCATAAACTCTATGGAACTAGAAATTGACCAAATATATATATTTTTATTAACAATAAAGGAGTTTTGAAATGATGTGGTTGAGACATATGAAAAATTCACTCCAAGTATTTGAGATTACAAACAAGATTAGAGAGCTTAAACAAAGGTAATATTAGTATTATAAATATTTAGACATAGAAAAATAGATTGACAATATAGATTAATCGTTTATGTATCGTAAATAAAAATCGATTAACACCTTTTCGTGAGCAAAAGACGCAAACAAATATAAAGTATTTGATTTCACAATCATCGTTTTGATACTAATTGCAAGCATAAAAATCATAATATATTATTATTTTATAAAAAAATTAATGTTAAAATTTGAAATCAAATAACAAGATATCTAACTTTACGATGCGTATTCTGATCTACGATTGCACTGTTGTTGGATCCGAAAGCTATAGTTACGTTGATCTACAATGAAAACTAGACTCATCTTCTCTTTTCCTTTTTTTTTTTTTTTTTCACAAAGATTACTGATTGATTTTGGAACAATAGGGATACGAGAGAAGATATGTAATATTTTATTGATTGGTTTATATAACTAAAAGGAAAATGAGAAAAGATCTGTAATCTTTTAATCATGTCACGTATTCATAATTCCACGTATCCAATTATTATGTATATAGTTTCTATGAGGTCATGTCTATTATAAACGAGAGTAAAAGGTTTATGAGATTCTCTCTCGTCAAAATAATATCCTAAGAAATCTTAAATTTTTTTTATTAATCAATAACTATAATCAGAATTTAAACATATTCATAATATATTTTACTTAATTAGATAATATCATATAATCTAATTACATCATTACATCTTCTCAAAGTTAGATCAAAGTCAGAGAGCCAACTTAAAATTAACATTTGAGTTCTCAGATATATGCATACAAGTAATTTTTTTATTTTTATAACAACGATAGGAAGAATTAATATTTAGTCTCATCATCAGTGACTTCCCAACTTTGTTTCAGCTAATCAAGTTCAAGTGCCATTTCTGTTTTGTGTAGGTGTTTAGCGAGAACACATTCAGCATTCCTACATGTTTAATGGTGTCAAATTATCCACTAATCCAATGAATATACCACTTATAATTCCCCATACGCAGGCTTAGCTTCTCCAAATGATATTTCTTTTGTAAAACTAATATTTAGCCATTTTCTAGTAAAAACAAAAAAAAAATTGTCAATTGGTGAAAAATAGATTTCATGTGGGATTAGGGAATTTAATCCATTTATGATAAGCAATTACAAAAACAGAAAAATATCAAAAAGAATACATTATATTTATTTCTTTTCATAAGTTTATGATGATAAGTAAGCTCAAGACTTACGTTAATCTTTGTAACAGTTGAGATAAATACAATGATATTATGTATTGATGCACTTAAAAAGTTTCTTTTTATGATAATAAGGTTATGCAAGATAATAATATATATTTAATTCAAACTTGTTATTGGTAATTATGTGGTTAACCTAAGTTTCTCAGACGATGTTAATGAAACTATTATTTAGGGAGACTATATTCTACACCATAATTAATAGCGATAAATAACCTATTTCAAAAAGCATTAAGGCTTTGTAAGGGTTAATGTGTAAAATAGCCGAAAAAAGTAAAAATAAATATGATTTTGATTCTGTTATGTCTCTGTCATTATTATATAGTTTTAAAGGTGAGAGAGAAAATTGAGTGAGTGAGAGAGAGAGAGAGAGAGAGCGCAACAAGGACGGCGTGAAGGAGGTCCTTGTCGCTCTCCCACGCTCCTTCGTGCTGCCGCTGGGATCTTGCGATCCCTCGTTCGAGAAGGAAACTATGAGTCATTGAGTGTCCACTTCTACGTCTTCGCCTTCCCCGCCCCTTCGATCGCCGAAAGCTCCCCTGATCGCAACCCTAGCCCTAACATCTCACCTCTCCACCTGTCCTTCCATGGCCACCGCCGCCGCCGCCGCATCGTCCTCATCCTCCGTTGACGCTGATCCCTCGTCAACCTCCGCATCCCCACGCGCCGCACGGACCGTGCGCCAACCCTGGTCCCACGTCGTCCGCGGCGAGCCTGAAACTTCCGCGGCCGCCGCCCTGCCTCCCCCCTCCTCTCCTCCGCCTCAGCCGCAGGCTGCTACAATCCCCTCTCCGGATCCCTCCGATCGGTCACCTCGGAAGTCGCCGCCGGAGGACGTGGCTCCGTCGTCATCGGAAGCTGCCCGCGGGAAGAAGCCGGCCTGGAAGCGGCCAATAAATGGGGAGATCGAGGCGGGCCCCGCCGTGATGGGGGGCGCCGCCTCCTGGCCTGCCCTCTCTGAATCCGCCAAGTCCGCTTCCGGTACCAGATCATCGTCGTCCGATGCTTCGAAACCCCTTTCCGATGGACCCCTCGCTGTGCCCCGGGTGAGAATTTCGAAATCTTGATCAAGAACCCTTATGTTTTAGATGGAAGTGGTCTGAATCTATGCATGCTGTTCTGGTTATTTATTATTATGGTTCTATCAACTTCGCTACCAAAATTTGCATGAACTTTTAGATTGAAGTGATCTAAATCTATGCATGCTGTTCTGATTATCTATTATTATGGTTCTATATTGTACTTAGGAGCCTGCAATTTCAACTGCTTCACCAAAGCCTAACTCGAATCCATCTTTGACCCCGAAGCCTAACTTGAATCCATCTTCAACCCCAAACCATGTGGCATCTGAACGCCATCAATCAATGAATCAAGGTGGCGGTAGTGGAAATGGTGCCCTTGCCGTTCGTGAAGCGGCATTGCCCTCACCACCACCGACTTCAGCACCACTGCCTCAGGTTAACCTGGCCAACCAGACACCCCAAGCACCCCCAGAACTCTCGACTCAAGATCAAGCTGCTTCGACTTTGGACCATGGTTCCTGGGGACTTGGATTGGGATCACAGACATACAATGGTGGTGACCACCATAGAAGCTATGGTGGCAACAGGCGGTGGAACAATGGTGGTGGTTCTGGGTCTCATAACAGCAATTATGGCAATCGCCGTGATCAGGAGCGTGGTGGCTATGATGGATATCGTAGGAATACTGGTGGGAGGGACTTCAACATGCAGCAGCGAGGTGCCCGGCCTTACTTTAGGCCACCACATGTTGTGAACCCATACCTCAGACCTCTCCCACAGGTTCGACCTTTTGGGAATCCCATGATGTACCCTGGTAAGCTCTATTTTCTCAACAGTTGGTCCTTCTTTATATTGCTGATATGGTTCTTCCATTTGTCATGATGGTGTTCTTGATTTGCCTTCAGATATGTCTTCTCCTGTCATTTATGTTGCCACTCAGCCACCTCCTGGGGTTCCTTTTGTTCCTCATCCGGTGGTGCCCCCTGCAATGTATATCCCTGCCATTGATCCGCAGCGTGCTGCTTTATTGAAGCAGATAGATTACTATTTCAGGTGACTATCTGGTTCACCACGAAATTGTTATATTGACATAATTGAAGGCTTGTTTAGGTTACTGTATTCTTTATTTTTAAACAATTTTCAGCTCGGACAATTTGTGCAAAGATATTTATTTGCGGCAGAATATGGATGATCAGGGATGGGTCCCATTATCCGTGATTGCTCAATTTAATAGAGTGAGTCAACTTAACAAATATTAATACCATGTTTTTATTTTTCCTATCTTCATCCAAAATGTCCTTCTGACATCTGCTGATATATTAACTTGGTTGCATTATTTTTTTGGTGTGGATAAACAATGTGTACTTTCTTATTTGATCTAGAGAGTGGATGTTTTGTCTGCATGTCAAAATTCCAAATTCTCTGCATTTGACTTTTAATCCATAATGTATGTATGTATGTATATCCAGGCATTTACTGTTCATGCTCATATTTGACAAAACAGTTATTGTTTTAACAAAATTGTATTTTCACTATATAATGTAGTTCCTTTAGTTGTTTTATAAAACATTTTTTGGACAGATTGCTTCTTATAGAGGAACACAACTAAGCTACTGAAATGTTGACACTTTTGCAAATTGTTTTTTTCTGAAATATGGAATGGAAGATTGTTGCTAACGTGACAATTACGTTAGGGATCCATATGGGTTCATGTTAGTTCTTTCAAGGCTATTTGTTTTCATCATCATTGGACTTGTGCAATATGGACTTTCTGGTTTAGATTTTCTGCTGGAGCTGTGATCATGAGGTTCTAGTATGTTTTTTGCAAGGAACATTATCCTCGATGGTGTTATCTCTATAAGTTTGGATAGCATGAAGCATATATTAACCTGCTATTGGCCACAGGGTTTGAAGGCTATTGTGAAATGTTGATAATATGGAATGTAAAGTTTATTCTATTACTTGTTTGGAGTCTCGACAGTTTTGATGTCTTTGCCTAGAGTACATTTACAAACACAAGTAATAAAAAAAAAGAACAATCATAATAATATTTATGACTCAAAATCTTCTTCCAGTATACTTGAATACAATTTATAAGCAGGCCTCAATGGAACTTTCATAGTAAAGATAAGTTCAATTACATGTTCAAATATATATTCAAGTCATGGCACATTTTTATATTATAATTCTACTACAATCATACACACTTGTTAATAGTTGACCTAGCTAAATTTGTCCTAAAAGAGCCTAAAACGTGAAAAGAGAAACCTTCACTAGAGCAACACCACTCTTGGATCATCAAGTGATCAATATATCAGAGAAATATTCAACTAAAATGATTTACATGGCCTATCAACTTGTCATTCTTGGCTTATCCCTTTGTTTAATCTCTCCTTCAGTTTCTTTAATAATTTAATATCTTCCTATAGCCTAAGTAAGTTTATCATAATCTTTGGTTTCCTTTATATGGTATTTATATTCTTTTTATTTTTCCAATGCAATGTAAGTACACTTATTCTATGAAATCATTAGATAAAGTACATGTTTAACTTTAAGACTTATTTCTTGTTTAAGTGATTGTACCATTGGCCAATAAGTCATTTTACAACATCTTTGGCATTGCGTTAACCTTTGATTATAGTTTGGCTCTATATTCTCAGAGCAGTTCATTTTCAAGCTTTAAGCTCCTTATTGCAACATTAGAGTTTTTATGAACATGGATAGAGTATCTCTGACCCTGTTTGGATGTAAATGTGGATATTTCTAAATCTTTTAGTCATGGATGAGACCTGTGAACATTCAATAATGCATGGAATATTTTTTTGATTTCCTTTGTTGCGATCTTGTTATATATTTTTATACTTTGTCTTGTACTTATCAGAACCTTGCCCCATAGTTAATAGTACTGGCCTGGCCAGGCCAGCAAAATCAGGAAACAGACCTCTAATCGGATCAGCTTCGCTTAAAACCAGTTTCAAGCTGACCTGGTTGGTTTTTTGTTGCTTCATAGGAATTGATTGAGTTGAACAAAACCATCCTGGTTTTCGTAATTTGATTAGCAACGACTAGATACCCTCTACACTAGGTATCACTTTATTTTATATTGAGGATGTTTTAGTTAAGGATCACTGTCTCATTCTGACTAGCAGTGTTCGTCCTAGCTTGGACGGGTATGTACCAGTTTTCAGGAAATTGGGAAAAAATGGCCGAAAATGGCTGAAAAATTATAAAAAAAACCTATATAATTCTAATTTAATGCAATTGCAATTCAATTTCAATAAAAATAAATTGCAAATGAGTCATAAATGGTCAGTAATTATAGGTTTTTAGAATGAGATAGCAAATTTAATGTTTTTGGATTGTTGAGGAGTAATTTGAATGAGTGAGGAAGAGAGGGAATGATGTAGGATGAGAAGCAACAATTTTTTTTTTAATGATAGAATCATAAAAAGAGAGAAAAAAGAGATAATAAATGGAAGATAATAAAAAAAAGATAACTGCCAGATTTGCTCTGGCTCAATATGCGAACTTCTAAGATGAAGGTCTCGCACCTCTACACGTCTCATACGTGGACGATGAAATCATTCCATCGGAAAACAAATGTGGTCTTACACCACAAACACACAAGGTGGGAAAGAACTCAATTCACTGATTCATGTTTGATTGATTTGCATTACAATGGTCTTGCCCTTTTTTATAGGCTCTAGTACAAGAATAAAAAGGAAAATAAAAGAATAAAAAAATTACAATTGCATCAAATTAAATATTTGATATCCTCTTTCATTTGAGGAAGGTATGAGAAATAATTTTTCTCTCTTGATGATGTTCTTGATTGATAGATTTTCATCTTTACAAAGATGAATCTTCAATTAAGATTCATAATCTTTAATCAAAAACAAATTTGATTTCTTTCATCTTTTCTGCATTTGCTTTCTTTTTCTTTGCCTTAAGTAGATGTTTCCATCTGACAACTTATGACATATGCAAATTGTCTCTAACTAATAAAATTTATTCAAATAATATATAAACTAAATTGCTCCTGCATCAGGGAGAAATAGTATGTGGAGTGAAAGAGGGAAGGGAGAGGGTTTTAAAAGAGGGGAAAGAGGCTAAACCAGGGGTCCAATGGTCAAATTGACTATTCAACCCGCATGATTTGACAAAACATATTCATACGAATTTGACCGTTACTGACCTATATCTCTTGGTAAAGGTTGAGTTTCTATTGTTTCACCTTATACACTCCCACTTGATGCGTGCCCATCGTTGGGTGGACCGGTACTTATTGCCCATATTGTATTGGGGATACGACGAACCTTGATTTTGATTTCTTAATTATTTTGAGGATAAAGAAAAAGTATCTTCAGTTACTGACTCTCCAACCACCCTCTTTCTTTCCGATCATTCATTCCCTTTCTCTAAGGGACAACATTGTTTCTCCCTCTATCCAGAGCCCTTGTCCCCCACTCATTTTATATCGTCAACTACCCTCTCTCCCTCTCTCTTTACCTTTGCTCCTGGTGTCTCTCTTCAACCATCCTCTCTCTCTCCCTCTCTGACTGGCCTTTGTTCCTCTCTTTTCTCTAGTCACTCTTTCTCCCTTTTCATTCGTCCTCTCTTTAGGTGGAGCCTGCCCTAATTTTCCATGAATTTTAGTAGTATGATCGGTCGATCGGATTGAATTTGGAGCAGATCATTGTCTAATCCAGGTCTGATAAATATGTTTTTTTGCCACTCTAAATATTTTTTGTTTATTTCTGTTGGAATTTGAATGAGATTTGATGTTTGAAGTTATTATATTCCAAAAAATATGGTGCAATGGATCAATACTTGCATGGTCCAGGATATTCAAGTGCAGGTTATTAGTAAGCCCATCTTGCCTTATATACATACCATGATAACTGTATTGCAATTCTGAAATGGAACTACTTGAGGCATTTCAATATCTCATCAGTCTCATCAATGTGTAACACATAGACCATAATTATTTTCTAGATCCACCCATTGTTCCATGTGTACATCTCTTGCACCATGTACATGTAGTCATATATTTTACTGGAGTGATTGGCCTTACATACATAGTACTAGGTCTGCACTATTACCACTTGACAAAGTCTGAAAATTATGTGAGTGAAGCCTTGACAAAGAAAGAGCACCCACTGATATACAAACCTGAGTCATAGCCTACCTCCAGTGTGGGTCTTTTTTGGGTGACACAACTGGTTTTGATAATACTGTTCTGCTGTTGAAAACATAATTGCTGATGCAAATATTTAATTCTGGCATCACGGCTATTTTAATATTGGTACCCTTTTTGTTTCTGAGTAGACCACAATTCATGCAAGAACTGGATCTGGTCTTTGTATTTTAAGTGAATGGCTCAAGTTATCACTCAAAACAACGACTGATTATTACTCATATGAACTTAAGATCAAGCATACTTCTACCAAGGTTTCCCTGGGGAGTTACTTTGAAAATTATTCAAGCAGTCCTTGTCTATGATGCTCTTATTAGATCAGATAACAAGCCATTATATATATTGGTTTCTGTCACGGAAGTGCTTATGAAGTTGGGTTATTGTTCAGAGTTGTAACTTTATTTGGAAGACGTACCTGATTCTTACAATGTGAAAGGCATACACCATGGTTATTTTTTCTCCCTGACATACATTAGATGGTGTTTATCATGATTTCTTCTTTTATATAAATTGACCCTCTTTATATCCTGGATTGCTGGAAGCCTTGTGCACTAGACTGAATCAAATATTTGTGCCATTTTTTTTGTTTTTCCTTTGTTGATAATTTAGTCATTTTTGTGATCCAGTTGGTCAGTGTGATCTACAAATCATGTACTAGGCACAACTTTTATGGTTAATCATCACCAAGTCATTTTTGTAATCCAGTTGGTCAATGTGATTGGTGTATCATCTGCTAGGCACAACTTTTATGGTCTACAGTGGCTCTAATTGATAAATAGTCATTCTCCTATGTATGGTTTGAAATGCTCTCATGATGGTTCCCTTGATCCTAATGAAATTATCTTGGTAGTCTTTTGTCATTTTAATAAATTTTGATTTAATAGTCTGTCATGAATTGTTTTGTTTGCTAGTTTTTGCATGAAACTACTGTTGTATGATCTGTAAATCGTAGACCATATGGTTTTTCTGACTTAAGCTTTATTACGAAGAATTATGTCTGAAACCTCTACTTTATATATCTAAATATTGTCAACTTCCTCTTGTAGCTAAAAATTGCTAATATGTTATTTGGTGGGTCCTTAAAACAATCATAGAAGGGACATAATATGTTACTAATGCCTAAATAACTGATATGCTCATGGTATTAGTTTGTATATCTTAATTATATATTTTTTTTTTCTGGATGTTTTGGTTCTTTTGAGGGTGGGCCTTAGTACAATGGTAAAGTTACTCCTTTGTGACCCAGGGAGATCAAGGTTCGAGTCACGGAAATATAGTCTCTTTAAATATTTAAAAGTAAGGTTGCAAATATTAACCCTCCCCAGATCCGGCATTGGGGGGAGCCTCATGCATTGTGTATGTCCATTATGTTTTGGTTCTTTTGATCTTTCGGGTTTTGGCTTCTCGAATCTTTTAACCTCATTAAACTTTTAGAATATTCTTTTCTTAGCATGGGAAATTGCTTTTCCAATTGTTTACAGGTCAGGCAATTAACAAACAGCACAGACTATATATTGGATACAGTGCGGTTGTCAACTGAAGTGGAAGTGCAGGTACCTCACATAAATTTCATTTTTCTTGCCATCAGCTTTTGTAATGCTTTTTGAAAGACAAATAAATGATGGGCTTTCTCACTGTGACCATCTTTAAATCACCTTTCCGATTTTGTCCTTTCAAGCTACTTCTTCAGAAAAGTAGAGGAACCTGCTAGAATGAGAGATATGAACTTGGTAAACATGACATCATCCTGTGCCTGCATTCTGTACATTTCTTGCTTTTTACAAGCCTAATGAAGATTTACACTCTCTTTGACACACACCATGGACTTATGCAGATGCAACTATTATATCTCATCTTTTTTGGCACATGGTTATTGCAGGGTGAGAAAATAAGAAAGCGTAATGACTGGATGAATTGGATTCTGCCTTCCGGTCAGTCTACAGGAACATCGAACTCTGATAATTTGTCAGCGCGCCTGCGAACTGTTGACCTAGAGGGGAACACTCTTCGGGGTAACACGGGAGTACCAAATTATAGTGAGGTAGTTCTTAGTAGATCGGCATCTGGGAACTTGAGGAATCAGTTACAAATGGCAGTAAATCGAAATGATGCCAATAGACGAGCCACTGGACTAGCAGATTCACATCCGACCAATTCTGGAAGAAGTTTAGGCAGGAGTGACACGTTTTGAAGTTTACTCTTCACAAATGGATAAGCATTATTGGTTGTCTGATGAGGGTTATGTTTCTGCAACAGAACTTGGACTTTTTTTTTTTGTGTCAGTTTGAAGAGGAAATCAAAACAACAAAAAACAACAGAAAAATCTAAAAGAAAGAAAAGAAAAGAAGCAAAAATGGGAAGTACAGATTGAATTTAGAATTATGAGGTTCTATAGTGCATTTCTGAGCTGTTGGTCAGTTATTTTTTGGCTACCAACCTTTTCTTTCTTCTTGAAGAGGGGTCTAAACTATTCTCTTTTTTGGGTTCCGAGGATGGAATTGGTCATGGTCACTCTAAACTTCTTCAACTAGATATTTATTTCTTGATTTGTTTATTCTCTTTCATTAAACAAGAAACATAGTATTTTTAACAGTACTCGTTCTTTGTTACCATTTGAAGATTTTGTTTAAATTCCGATCTTTTGAGGATTAAAAGTTGTTTCACTTGTTAGTATATAAAATAGTTGCCTGGTTGGTACATGCTATCGGTTCATGGAATCTGCTATTGCTGGTGAAGACCGACTGGTATGTGGTTTCCCTTTAATTTTCTTGGCAAATCATCGTTGTTGCCCCACTCAGTGAATCAAATTATCAGGTCATGTGGTATTCAGATAAGCTTTTAAGATTGACTGTATGCAGTTTAATGTTCGATCCCCCCACATGAGAAGAAGGTGAGGGCATTCACCGAAGCTTGCACCTTTTATCCGACGGACTGGCTATGAACAGAATCGTGTCATCACCATCGTGCAAGGGTCTTTGCTACCGTCAGATCGTTGATCGACAGACCTGGTTCCATCTGATTCCGTTTGGCCAGAGTTTGCATGGGCACTATGGGTACATCGCTCCCTTATCTCGCCTTGCTTCGTCGAACGAGCGGTGCAAATAACAGTGGAACGAAGCTTCTTCCATCGAGGGACCCGCAGTTTGCCCTTTCTCTCCCTCTTCTTATCAGTTCATCCGGCCATGAATCGATATGAACCAAGCAACATTACTCGATGAGCTTGTAAAAGAAGATAAGAGATCGATCGCAAATTCTCAAGACCTCCCCTTACCGAGCTATATAATTAAGAAGCCAAAATATAGCAGCAGTTCCACTCTCCCCACTTCTCAAGTCTCAACCGAAGATGGCGAAGCCGATATCGATCGAAGTCTGGAATCCCAGTGGCAAGTACAGAGTTGTCAGCACCAAATCCATGCCCGGAACTCGTTGGATTCGCCTCTTGACAGACCAAGACTGCCGCGTCGAGGTAAACCCTCCTCCTCCTCCTCCTCCTCCTCCCAGGTCTCGATTCTTGTTCTGATCTTGATACAGAGCTCGCTGTTGTCATCTGTGCTTGTAGATATGCACTGAGAAGAAAACTATACTGTCCGTGGAGGACATTCTCGCACTCATCGGCAACCGATGCGACGGAGTAATTGGACAGGCAAGTAGAGAGTTGCTTGTAGTATGTATGTGTGCGTGTGGAGAAATCTTTGTGCTGCTTTCTGTGGTTTGGTTAGCTCTGCTGTCTCTGTGCCGCAGTTAACAGAGGACTGGGGAGACGTGCTGTTCTCGGCGCTGAAGAGAGCTGGAGGATCTGCGTTCAGCAACATGGCAGTCGGGTACAATAATGTCGATATCAACGCTGCTAACAAGTACGGTATTGCCGTCGGGAACACCCCAGTAAGTTTCATATGGACAGACTTCACAGTCTTTGTATTCTTGGCCATGTTGTTTCTGATCTGGTTAGTAGAAAAGGTTATACTGGAGGCACGATTGGAGTAACAAAGAACTTGGTCGTTTAAATATTAATCACCATAATATCCTTTAGATTTTCTTTTGCTTTGTGTTCACTGTCATGTGGGATTGATATGGTGTACGCAGGGGGTTCTTACAGAAACAACGGCTGAATTAGCTGCTTCACTTTCACTGGCAGCTGCCAGAAGAATAGTGGAAGCAGATCAGTTCATGAGGGCGGGCTTGTACGACGGATGGCTTCCCCACTTGTATGATCTTGGTCATTCTTCTTAATTTTTCAGCAGTTATAATGAACTCTGTTATCCACAGATGAAAAATATAACTTCTTTTGATCAAATGGCTCCCAACAGGTTCGTCGGAAACTTGCTGAAGGGGCAGACAGTGGGAGTAATCGGAGCTGGCCGTATTGGTTCTGCATATGCCAGGATGATGGTACTATTTCCATTTTGCTTCTCTGTAAATTTCACTTGATTCTGTGCTATTAAGTAATGAAACAAATGATATCCTACACACACACACACAGAGGCAAGGACAAGATTTGTTTAGAAAGCAAAAATAAAGGCTATTCAATAAAAAGCCACAGTACCAGAAGGAAAAGATCAATTATAAAGTGCAGTATTACATTATGAAGTTTTGAATTGCATCAACAATGAAAATATGCATAAAGTGTTTTGATTTGAAAAGCATATAACATGGCAATGACAGATTGAGGGCTTCAAGATGAACCTGATATACTACGATCTGTATCAAGCCACACGGCTAGAGAAGTTCGTCACAGGCATGTTATCATCATCACCTCTTTTTTTCCGATAACATCCCCATGAGTTGAACTTGTAGTTAAGCATTCATTGTTCTTTGTTATCTCCTGTTCAGCATATGGCCAGTTCTTGAAGGCAAATGGTGAACAACCTGTTACATGGAAAAGAGCTGCTTCCATGGAGGAGGTTCTCAGAGAAGCTGATGTGGTTAGATATTTCTACCTTATTTCTGTATTAGAAACATGTTCAAGCTGTAGTTTGTATTGTTCACAATTTTAAGAAAATTAGCTCTACTACTGGAATAAGCTGAATTAATTAATTATATGCAATTTACAGATAAGTCTTCATCCGGTTTTGGATAAGACTACATATCATCTTGTAAACAAAGAGAGTCTGGCCATTATGAAGAAGGTGAATCTTCCTGCTCTTTCTTATATCGATATAATGAACAGAAACATCACAGTTCAGGTCTTTAATTTTCTTAAAATTAATGGTCTATTACAGGAAGCAATCCTTGTGAATGCAAGCAGAGGACCAGTGATTGATGAAGCTGCTTTGGTTGAACATCTGAAGGCAAATCCAATGTTCCGAGTTGGGCTCGATGTTTTCGAGGTAATGATATTCCTAATTTTTTGATGGAAAAAAGAGAGGAGAAAATGGATCCTAACTGCTTTCATGTTTAAAATTCACTGGAGAACAATGACACAATGTACTGATCAGTAATGTGTTCTCAACAGGATGAACCTTTCATGAAACCTGGACTTGCTGAACAGAAGAATGCTGTTGTTGTGCCACATATTGCCTCTGCCTCCAAGGTGAGAACACAAAGAGAAAGAATTAACATATACATTGCAGTTTTCTTTGTTCTCAACTTGGTCTTAGCTACTAATCCAACCTTTTCATTATCGGTTCAGTGGACGCGTGAAGGAATGGCAACACTTGCTGCTTTAAATGTTCTTGTAAGTTCAATACACCTAAAATATATATTCTTTCTTCTTATTTGATCAAATAAATGTTGTTGCAAGTTCAGTACACCTAAAATGTATTTTCTTCCTTCATAATTGATCAAATAACTTATCGATCCACTGTTTTTTTTCCTCTTGCTTGCATGTGAGTAGGGAAAGATAAAAGGATACCCAATTTGGGGTGATCCGAACCGGGTTGAACCATTCTTGGATGAGAACTCTCCTGCTCCTACCGCATGTCCAAGCATTGTCAACGCCAAACAACTTGGTATTTGAGTGAGTTTTAGTTGGATTTGTTATCTGCTGCCCTCTGATTCGTAGGCTTCTTCCTAAACTGCTAGTTTATCTTTGTAGGCCTGCCCAGTTCCAAACTTTGATGGCAGAAGAACATGCAAATTGAGATGAAGACTGTGTGTGTCACATAGAGCAATGCATACATATGAAATCTTGTGGATCCTTACAATCCTATGATGTATAATTTGCATTTGCTGACTTAAGTCTTGCTTACTTGCATATGCGCTTAAAAATCCTTCTTGGCCATGAAATGCTTGTTAAACATTATAATAACAATGACAAAGTCACAAGTCTCTTTTAGATCTTTCTCTATTTCTTCTCGTATCATTAATATTAATCATTTTACCTCTTCTAACTATCGCATCTGGAGATATCCAAAGCACATGCTCATAGTTGTTCACGAATAAAAATATTTTTTTTCTTTCTCAATGATTGGGAATATATAATCAACCAACCATGTAAGCGTCATGTAAGGCCCATGGGGAAAAAGATCCAAATGACACTCAATTGCCTATGTGGATAGAAGTCTAAGGGGCAGCTCGGGTCGATTATTAACTATCTCTCTTATGAAATATTCATAAGAATATACTTGAGAGTCCAAGGGGTAGCTCGGGTCGGTTACAAACTGCTTCCCTTACAAAATATTCACATGAATATTCTCGGGAGTCTAGAGACAACTTGGGTCGATTACGAACTACCTCTCTTGCAAAATATTCATAGGAATATTCTCGAAAATCTAGGGGGCAACTCGAGTCGGTTATGAACTACCTCCCCTACGAAATATTTTTAGAATATTTCATCTCTTCAAGGTCAAGTATAAAAACATAACCTCAACTTTAGGTAAAAGGAGAGAAAATCGAGAACTTATACCTAAAGAAGTTAACCTCGGGTCTAACTTCAAGTGTTAGAGGGACCAGCTCAGGAAGCCTCTCCCGACTTCGATCTTTGTGCGGTGATAACTCGAGAGAAGGCACTTTTCATCTAGGATGACTCCACACATACGGACTAGGGCCATGTTGTGTTGATAAGGATGTCAACAACATTTTCCTCCAATATCCAATAACTTCGCACAACCATCTCAATATTCTCATCTTGGCAACATAAACTTTTTGTATATATTGTTTCTTAATTGCTCAACACTCAGATCCATAAAATATTATTAGTTTCATAATTATTTTATAAAATATTTTTTAATCTCAAATGTATCCGATGATCATATAAGACTTTTGATGTCACGAGCTAGAATTGCCTAAGTCATAAGAAACTCTTGCGTTACGCGTCCATAAAGGGTTAGCCTAGTTACAACCTCGCTCAGGTCTTGGAGAACTAGTAAAAGAACAAACTGATTAGTTTCGAAAATGGGTGACGAATAAGTCCCGATGTCTCACAAAGAGGACAATTTTATGAGCAATTCAATAAACACTTGTATACAAGAAAGAAAAAAGAGGAAGGAGAAAATAAGAACTTTAGCGAACAAGTTCCTATAGGCTTTACATACAAACTTATAAATCTAATCAACGCTTAACACTATCCCAAACCCTCATTAAGTCCTATGCCACCTTAGTAGTTTTAGGT